TCACCTCATCCTGGGCACAGAGAGAACTTCTTCTGTCTGTGCTCCTGCACTCTGAAGATGCCGGTCACTGGTGCTGGCGAACCGTTAGGAAACAAAACTTCAAGAACACGGCCACACAGCCCGGAAGACCCACACCAGCCACAATATAGGGAAATGTTGGTGCAAGAATAATCAAGTGTTAATAAGGCAAAGTGAGCTGGTTTCTGCCATACATAAAAGATCAGATAGCTCTTAGAGTTATGATCAGCTGCTATTTGGGCATTGATATGAGTTCAAAGTAGAGTTAGGATCAGTGATGTCACAAATCCGGAAATCTGATTGGTTGTCTGATGATGTTATAAGAAAACAAACCAAAATGGCATTCAAGAACCAGCTAAACAAAAATGGAGATCCACTATATCTCACTCTTGACCATATACTGTGTATATGGAGAAAATTTGGGTGACTGCATTTTTGCTCCACAAACACTTTCATGCAAGCTGCAAAAACTGCATTGCATGTGAGGAAGGCAAAGATTTTCATATGGACTAGAAGAGGTTGTCTTCTTGCTGTTGTATATGTTCATGTATAAAATTAAGTATGAATGCAGTAAGAACTGTGAAGTGCACTAAATACCAACATTACATGTGTATGTTGAATGATTTATATTATTACATGGATTACTCATTATTATTACATGGATTACTCAGATATGGATTATTCTTCATTTCTCTTTTTAGACTCTTGTTATTTTGTTCAAATACTTTGAATGTTATTTTAACAGGGAATATTTTCTAAACTTTCCTAAATTTATTCCAGGGGAGTTTCTGGTCATATCACGGAGAGGCAGACATCATGTGACCTTGTAGCTGTGGGTAAAAAACCTGAAAGTTTTCATCCTGTATTTGAACATATAAAATCTGTGACGCAGAAGGTAGAACAAAACCCATCAAAAGAATTTGCTCAGGAAATCATCACAATTATCCACCAAGTTAAAGGTGGTTACAGAAAGTTAAACATCCTGATTGTTTGTGGTATCATCACTGTCTTGTAATCAAAATATTTTATATGTCATTAATCCAGGTAATCCAAGACATGTGACATATTGCAGATGTTGCATAAAGTAGTATGAGATTACTGCCAAAAATTCAAGAAAGACTATATTACACTTTTTAAATTAGAAGTGGGATTTTTTTAACGAAGTTTAAATTTGATGGCTTTGTACATGCATCTATAGATCAAATTTATACTTTTTGAAAAACACCATTGAGTATTAATGGGCACAGATGTAGCTTTGTATACATACATACATATACATATATATATTTTATGTATTCTAATTTGAGATAATGTTAACTGAAGTAAATATTGATTTGATCTTTTTGTACTTGGCTGCCTAAACAGTAAAGGTTACATGGGCTTCTTGACGTGAGAGGATTATTGAGTGGATTTTGAAGGCTATATTGAAATAAAATAAGAGCATGCTGAAGGCTACCATTACAAATTTATTAAGGAATATATGGCTCTAAAGATTATAAGGCTTAAGATAAAATATTACAATCTTTTTCAATGTGGAGTTTTCAATAGCTGTTTTAACCATGACGTTGCAGCATGTAGGATTAGCTAACATTTTTCCTTCATTGTTTTTGCAGCAAATTATTTTAAATCTTCTGACCTAACGTTAAATGAACGCTTCTCAAAAATACAAGATATATCAGGGGAAAATGAAGCTAAAAGACATTTGGATCCAGAGATTCACAGGTAAAATAAATTTATTCAACCACTAAAATTGGTTTTGGTTGATTAAATAACAAATAAATAATCCTGATTTTAAAAAAAAGTTTCCACAAAATTTATTTAAACTGGCAATTGAAGTGGCATAAAAGCATTTATAATAAATACATGAATAATAGTTTACTATATCCCATTGTTCATATTTATGATTGCTTGAAAGTCCTGCTGTAATTAATACAGTTCTTGAAAGACTTGAAATGGCCATGTTTTGTCCTGACTGCAGACAAAACTCTCAAACCCTATGTTTTTTGTTTTGAACTTGAAACACACAAAATGGTGTTTTGAGTTGGAATCTTTTGTAGATTTCTAAGGAAAGTAGCAAACTTAAGGCATTATCCAGCATGTGGGATCTGTCTTTTCCACTCTGAACATTTTTTGGCTCATTTTCTGGCTCTTCCTAATTATTGCTGTAATCTAATTATATACCTACCCTTTCTATTCATATTCAGAATGGTCTAAATGCATTCTTGCACCAAAAGGGACATGATATTTTAAAAAAATTGCAGTAGACATCAGCAGGACGCATTATTCAAGTCTATTTTGTATAATTTAGTGTCTGTTGTATTTAAATTTTTTTCCATTTAACTTATTGATTTGCATGGTCATTATATTAGGAGGATTGATATGTCTTTGGCAGAACTTCAGAACAAACGCGCTATTTCGTGTGAGTCTGGACAGGTATGTATGTTTATATCCTAATAAAAAGAAAACATATTTTCAGCAACATGGTAGAGTATCTTATTTTAATGATTCCATCATACGTTCATTTGTTCAGTATGTAACTATCTTATTGAAACAATGCTATAACTTTCTTTTATTTTTATTGAAATATATTTCTTATTCCAATTTTCCTCCAAATAGCTGAAATTGGTGTATGTAATTTTCCTCTCTCTTTATCCTCAAACCAACATGTGAGGTAGATTTGGCCAATAATGAGTAGTTCAAGTTCATCAAATTGATGTTAATAGTTGAATGAGAATTTTACTGCACTGGCTCTAATGTATAATTTGTAATATACTCATTATTGTAAAATGTAACACTTTTTGCTTTATTTTATTCTAATACTGGTCTTACTAATGAAGTAAGGTAAGAAGAAAAATGAAAATAAAACTTTAATTCAATAATCCATTTATTATTTTTTAGAATATTGTGAGAGTTCTAGAGGATCCAAATGATTTAAGACATGACATAGAGAGGCGAAGAAAAGAGAGATTGCAGAATGAAGATGAAAATATGTTTTACATTAATATCCCACAAAGGTAGATGTTCTCAAGAAAAATAATAGTTGGAGTTGAAATATAATAGCCACACTATTAAATTCTAATGCTATCTTTCATGACATGTACTTTGAACTTATGGTTTATTTAGGGTACTCTTTTTCTTCCTTTACCCTTTGCAGTTTTCAATGAAGTGTCATAATGTACATAAAAATTCATAGTTTTCCTCTGTTTTCTACACTACTTCTAGAAGATACATTTAAATTAATTTTGATTTTAGCACCAGCTTTTAACTGTTCTTTTCCTTGCCCTGATACACTTTATTTATTTATTTATCATATTTATATAGCCACCCATCTCTCACAAAGTGACTCTGGGCAGCGTACAACACTTTATTCATGAATTGCCCAATCCCTCACTATAATAAGTTACATTAGTAGAAGAACTAAATTAACTAGTTTGGCTATATGATACTGCTTATTATTATGGGAATTGAGGAAGATAACACATTCAGGTTAATGATGTAGAAAATTATGTACTCTTTCTGTTCTTTCATATCTGGTTTGAAATTGTTGCTTCCCACCTGCATAGTCGGATGAAAATATATTTTTTCTTTTGGTGGTGTGAGTAAACTTTGAGAAAGCAGTCACGGAGTAGAACCCATCATGTTGCTTAGATTTAGGCCTTTTCCATAGCCATAAGACAATGCCCATTTATTTTTAATACCTCTATTCCTTTGTGAAGAAACATTTTCTGCATCCCAGCTCTTCAAAACTAGTCAGTTTTCCATTAGACATTTTTGCTTTCAGGAGATATTCGGTTTTATTTAGACCTCAGCCATATAAGAGTTAAAAGAAGAATAATGAATGCAAGCAGCTGAGATAGGATACTGACTTACATCCATCTAAACTTTTTTCTCCATTTACCACAACAATTATTCATGCTATTCTGCAGTACACTTTAGCTGAGATGAAATGTTGTAAATTTCTATTTGTTTGTTTGTCACATTTATAGTTGACAAATAAATACATTTTAGTTGCCCTCTTCTGAACCTTCTCTAGCTCCACTATATCCTTTTCAAGGTGCAGCAACCAAAAATGCACACAATATTCCAGATGTGGTAGCACCATTGGTTTATATAAGGGCATTATGATATTGGCATCTCTGTTTTCAATACTGCTTATTATTATCCCTAAAATGCTGTTGGTCTTTTTTATAGAAGCTATCTCAACACCTTCAATGGACTCTTTACCGTTACTCTAAGATCTCTTTCCTCATTAGTCACTGCTATATCTAATCCCAATCATTTATATAAGTAGTTAGGATTTTTGGCACCAGTATGTATAACTCTACACTTGTTCACATTGATATCTGCCATTTTGACACCCATTCCCCTAATGTGCAGAGATCCCTTTGGCACTCTTTCAAGTCCCTTATTATTTTTATCAGTCTTCACAGTTTAGGGGCTCTAAAGCAAACTTGGCTATTCCACTAGTCATGTCTGAGTCCAGATAATTTATAAATATGTTAAAAAGCACAAGTCCTAGACAGAACCCTGGGGGACCCCACTAGCTGCATCCCTACATTGTGAGAAATGCTATGCAGTCATTCAAATGCCCTTGGCAAGTGTGTTTCATATATGTGTCTTTTTTTAGCTTTTGGTTTTATTCCATTGCTACCATCTTTCACACACTACTCACACAATTTGCTATCCATGATCTTTTTCTATGTCCACAGTTGCATTTTATAAGCCAGTTTAATTAATGTAAAATCCTTTACAGTATATAGCCTTCAAAACATTCTACATAGCTATGCCCATACAGTACTAGCAGAAAATATAGCTTGTCTTCAGCCATAATATTAGCAAAGTGCTGTCTGGCAAAGTTATTCTGAGTGATGAATGACCAGGTAAACTCTGGCTGTCTGCTAGAGTATGAGTCATTCTTGGCTCTCTATAATATATTTGTCTCACACACTCAGGCCAAATCATTCACTATTTAAATAAACTTTAAATGAACCTTGTTACAGATTCAGAGTTCCCAGAACCAGGCCATCTAGTTTTATTTTTTGGGTTCAAGTTATCCTTCAGTATAAAATAATACTCAGAGGAATATGATCATTCCAGTCTGGTAGATGCTGAATTATTTGTCAGGCACAGCCAGAGCTACCTTTTTTCAGAATTAGTTTATTAAGTTGTTAGGTATTCTTATAAATTGCTGCTGCACCTGAATTTTGACACTGCTCCCCACTGGTTTACATTTTTCACTATAGAATGATTGCCATGTCATTCTACCAGAACGCTACCAATTTTATGAACCATCCATTTCCTGGAATTCAGTTTGATTTCATTTTGCCTAATAAATTTAAGATAACTGTACCATATTGATTGTGTTATGTTTTTCATTCACAATTTCTGAACAAAAGTACTTTTAATATGATAAAGTGGCTGTCACTGTTTGATGCTTTAAGTATGTTAAAAAATGGGTCATTATTTTTACAAGATGAATCACCAATAACCAGAGAATACTGTTGGACTCAGATCTATTTAACATATATGAGGTCATAGAAGATGATTTCTGGTGGTTGCCTCCCTATTTCAGTTCCTTTTTTCATAACCTTTCCAAAGTGGAGGATCATCCAAAAGCATTTTTTGTTTAAATTGACATTTTAGCAGGATTTTTAGCATATGATATTTGAATAAATATATTGTTGAGAAGTATTATTTTTAATAGAAAATATATATGTCTCAGGGTCAAACTGTGGAGTCCTTGGTGCTCTTTGAGATTGGTTGGTTGCTTGCAGATGTTTCATTACCCGACTAGATAACGTGCACTGATGATGTTACCTAGTCGGGTAATGAAATGTCTGCAAGTAAACAACCAAGCTCAGAGAGTACCAAGGACTCCACAATATTATTTTTGTAAAACTTTGGTGTCCCTTTAAATCAGTAACCTCTCAGATTGCATTTATGGAGTCTTTGGTTCAGACTTGATCATGAAGAATTTTCATTCCATGGATTTAGTTGGATTGGTCTAAATGTAATTGCCTGGATTAATTTCAGATGGATAAAGATATACTATGCTGTCTTAATATGTAATAATAATTTGTGTTCATTTGAAGCAAAATATACCATCTTCTAAAACAGATTATTTTAGTGCTTTATATTGAACTCTGTAAACTGAAATTTCAGAAGAGAATAAATATCAGTTGATTTCTTTGCACACATACTTAGTGGTACTTGATAATCTGCAAATGGTAATGTGGTACTTAATCTCAACATATGGAAGATTGCACAGGCAAGATCCTTTACGATTAGGATATTTGTTAGAGATATCAAAGTCTGATTACTGTTAAGTTTATCAGAATTTTTAGAAATTATGTTGTTTGATTTAACTTTTTGATTACTGTGCCAGTTTAAATATATTTATTTAAATCAATAAAAGCTAAAATATTTGTCTGTTTAGGCACGCACAGAGTAGTAACTTTGTGAAACTTCGGAATGCTCAAACATACAAATACCAGAAATCACCAAGATTCCCAAGTCAGCCTTTGAGAAAGTTTATTAAGAAACCACACATGGTAAGTTCTTAGGAATATAAGTTGTGTACAATATTTCACAATTCCATTTATTTTGATAGTTTTCATTGTAATATTGCTTTTTTGCTTTTTTGCTTGGTTTATATTTACTGTTATACACTACTCAAACTCCTTCAGGATTGGGGCAGGTTATAAATACAATTAAATAAGGTTTTTTGTTGTTTATCATTGAATCAAGCAAGACACCAAGACTCCTTTGTCAGCTTTATAAATTTTGGGAACACTTCCCAGGTTTAAGTTACTTGCACATTATATCATCTTAGGGTGAAAAAGAGTATTGAGTTTTTTAAATTAAATTTTTGATTTTATGTGGTATGTGTGTTAACAGCTCAAAAATATGCACTTGACAAGATTGTATACAGAAAGTATAAAGTTAGTTGCATTTGATATCTTTCCTTCTGCAGAAAACCACTTTAGAATGTCTCTCATTTTTTGAAATAATTCATACCCCAAGTAGAGATGTTACAGGGTAAATTGAGGTTGGGCTAAAGCTTTTATTATTTTTAATCTCAGCCAGAAGCATAACAGGGAAGAAAGGATTCTTATCATTTGTAGCTGAAGACTCTGTAGACACAGTCTGGAAAAACAGTGCAGGGATTGAGGAAAAGAAGACAGAGAAAGTAGGAGAAAAAGAAATTTTAAATGATTTGGCTATTTTCAATCAATCAACTAGAGAATTAGACTCTACGGCTGAATTAGCAGTTCTAGCAACGTCTTCTATTTGGCTGTCTAAGGAAGCTCCTAGCAGGTTTTAAAAAATGAAATACCATAGTGATTTCTTGAAAGAGACTACTGGCCAGAATGAAACACATGGTTGCAACTAAATTTGTTGGTTCCTGATACTCTTCTTTTCTTGTACCCATAATCATCACTTTCTCTTAATAACAGTAAACGTGATTATCTTTGCCAACAGGAAGTTTATTCCCTTTTGACTTTCCAAATCCATTACACAGAAATCTTGTCTTTCTTTAATATAAACATTAGATTTGTGGAAGTGTCATCTTAGCACATATGGATAGTGCCAGGTTGGGGAAATTTGTTGTAAGTAAACAGTAACCAAACCATGGATTTTTTTTTTCATCCATAGTAGATATTTAACCAAAAATGCATCAAATAGTAGAGTATCCATTCCTCTACCATTTTTTCAGTTTCTCAAAAATATTGTAGCTATGTCAAAGCAGGGTACATAGAAGAAAGAACTGAGAAGAAAAAAAAATCAATATATGGAAAAAAAAACTTGTGTAAGAGAAGAGATCGTGTGTATCCCACAGAATACTATATAGCTTTGCACAGCTCTGTATCACAGCAAGATACGTCAGCATTATCCCCAAAACTTGCACTTCCTATCACTACCACACAGGGGAGAACAATGTTCCCAATGGCTATACCAAAGGAAGAAAAACTGAATAGTAATGGTCAGGTTGGCTGCAGTTAGTCTAACTGTGTGTTAGCTAGATGATGTTATGCAAGTGAAAAAAGTAGAGAATTTGAGAGGCTGCTTTTAGCATTCTTTAAGCCTCGATCTGAGATGTGGACAAATAATAGTTTTGTAATAAGCATAATAGGCATAATTTAGTAACAGTGTTTAGGATGAGGACTTCAAAGTATTTCATATTAGCAATTTCACTTTTGCTTATAATCACCTGCTAGATCTCCTGAAATGAAATGGCGTATGAATCCTATAAATAAATATATATATTTATAAAATATCTAGCCTGCAGACAAAGCTATTTAAGATGAGGAAACACATCCAGACTTTTTTTTCTTTCATTGTTTTACTTAAGGAGGGGAAAAAAGGATTCTTTCTGTGGGGTTTGCAGCATTTATAATTTGGAAAGCTTCAATATGTTGATATTCAGTAAATTATTATAATTTTCTTTTAATATAGAGTCATTATACTGAAAATTCACGTGATGATATTGCAAACAATCGATTTAAAAGGCATATTGAAAATCCTGAAACAGTACAAAGACCCGTCAAGGTATAACTTTAATTTTACTGAATTCTACTGGATCAGTAGAATTTTTTTTTTTTTTGTCTTTGCAATATAGTTTTGCAGTATTTGAGTGTTACTATAGAAAATAGAAAGTCATTACAACTAAGATAATTGAATGAACGATAATTTCTAAAAATAAAGTTTCCTCCAGTAAGAAGAGTGCCATGGAAAAGGAAAAGCCATTTTTGATGCCTGTTGCAGAAGCATCTATTTTTTTTCTTAATAAATATGCTTTATTTATTTATTTAATTTGTATGCTACCCATCTCACCCAGAGGGTGACTTTGGGTGGCTTATATATCTCCTACTACCTAGTATAAGTTGTAAACATGCATGAATCTAGTGAGTTTCTATTCATAGTAGGAAAGTAAGTACCAAATTAAACCTGGAACAGCTTATTTATTAAAAAATGAAGCTTAATAATTAAGGCAGAATCATTGTTTCATTTAGAGCTTAGCATTTTTACTCTATTTACGTTATTTTAATTTGTTATATGCAACATAAAATTGTTTGTTCTGACTCTTATGCTGTCTCTCAGCATAAGCATAATTTAAATAAGTTATTGCATTGCACTTTATCTAATGGAAGCTGTTGCCAACTTAAAGATACACTGGTTTATATAAATCTAAGTTTATCCCTCTGAAAGTGGGGGATGAGGATGAAAAAAGATACATTTTTTACCTTCCAGATATTGCATAAATTTTATTTATTAAATTGATATAGCTACCATTGCACTGCTGCAACTCTGGACGGCTTACAGAAATGGAAAAAGAAGTAGGTCCCATAAAAATTAAAAACAGTTGTAATATGGGGTTTAGTTGGCATGTGGAAGAATATATAAACATTTATTGATCAGACGTATTAAGTCTCTTAAACAACTATTACAATTGTACAATTACCCTTAGCTACTGCTTTTACAGTAAAAAAAATACAGACTCTTTTAAACCCTAGTGCTTTGATTTATTTAGAATTATTTGGAAATTTTATGCATATGTATTGTCTTTTGGGGAGAAGCTTCTTTTTTGCATCACCTGCAATAAGTAGTACTGGAAGTTATAGGAACTAGAGTATGTTACCCTATATGCTGAATGGTTGTTCTGCATTAAAGGAGTTTGTACAAGTTTGAGGTCCACAGACCCTCCCTTGTTGTTCATCACGCTTTCTGTCCTGCCTGCCTTTCTCACATTAATTTTTTTAAAAATAGAAAGCTAGCCTGCAGCATCAGCAGCTTTCTTTTCAAGAATGCCTCTGGGCTTCATTTAGGACTCATAAACTATCTTAGACAATAAATATGATGGGTGGCTGCAGTTCACTGGTTTGTTTGGAAATATGCCCACTTCCCAAAATGGATGAAGATATGCAGGGGTAGTAAGGAATTTCATACAGGAGGGATGGCAGTAGCATTTGATAAAATTGTGATTTGTAACTTGTTATGTTCCCCATGGTAGCCATTTTGTTAATAAGCAAAAATCCACCCACCCAAGCAGTCGTTTTGTGATAGCAACCACATCATATTCTTTCAGGTGAAGTCTGTTGCCCTGTAATGTAAGCCCTTTAGATTTGTTGTTTGCCTTCTCTGACAAATCTTGAAGTATTTTTAAGCAGACCTTTATATATGCGCTAGTGCTTATGAAACTCTGTCCCCGAACATTTGTGTTACATACCAATATTATCTCAAATTTTAATGATATTTAACAACGGCAGCTGTCTTCTGGCATGTTTTAAATTGTATTTTTTAGTGTTATTTAATGTTATATCTTAATTAATGCTATATTGTAGCCTATAATAACTTAAGCTTTTAAATTTGGGGATTTAAAGTTGGATTGATGGAGCTAAAGTGGTAGTTGGCAAACCAACAAGAGGCAAAGAGTAGAAAAGCTAGCTCATAATAATGGTTGGAAAACACTAGGACTGTTATGTTGAGAAGAGGCCAACCTAGTTCAGCTAAATCATAATTTATAATTATACCAGATTTCCTATATAATCAGTAATAAGACCAGTTAATCTTACACATTCTTGAAATATTAATGGCAGTGTTATAGTTCTGATCTTTATTTTGTGTATTATGATTTCAAATCATAAGACAAGTTTTATACGGGGTGGAGAGGCTGCAACTACTCAAAGAAAGCCCCATTCCTGTTTTATGTGTGTTGTTCTGCCCATAAAAGGGAGTGGAGTTTCAACCACACATTTGCTATCTATTCTGCTGATCATGATGTTTTCTTGGATAATGTTTCTGTGTGGTATTCTAGTTAATGGAGTTTGGGGGTAATTTATTATTAAACATTTTACTCCTTTTACTAGAATACACGGAGAAGGCTTAAAACATTCTGTTCAAGTTTTTCTTTAAAATTATAATGCATATGTATGCTAATACAATTTATATTTAAAAATTCTTGATTCTTCTATTAAAGATTGTTCAGATAAGATTCTGAAAACTATTACATGATTTTTTTCTCAACAGTACAGTTTTATTGATGGGCGCCCCCACTTCAGATCAAATTTAGTACAGAAGGGTTTGTACATACAAGCTAAATATCAGCGGTTACGTTATGCTGGATCAAGAGGATTTACCACTTATAAAATCAGAGAAGGACTTTTGAGGAAACAGCAGGTGAATGAATTCTTTTGGGTCAAAGTTTGAATAATTGTCAGCAAAGGTTTATTATGGTCAATGACCAGAATTCCACAAATAGACAAGAAAATGAATTCCAAATACAAACAGTAGTATAGATGACAACTATACTATCAGTGCAATCAAATCATGGCAAGTTCTACAAAATTGTAATAAAACAGTTGTCATTATCCTGCTAAATGTAACAGAAATTGGAAAGCTATATCTTTGAGTATTCATTTGTTACAGTTATATTCTCTCTCTCACAGTGGCAGTTTGGTTTCATGATAATCTTACAAGGTAGATTAATTTGTGAAAGAGGGAGTCAAATTCCACTTTCAATGTGTAGTTCGTTTCATGACATCTGGTTATTTATTTCTGAAAATAGAAAGCTAAAATAGTAGAAATTGGGACTGGCCTGGAAAAGTAGACTTCTTACACTTGCTTGTTTTGATGAAGAGATCACAGGTGTATGGTCATCACCTAAGAATCAGTGTGAGAAACCACATTCAGAGCTGCCTAATGTGTGTATCTCTTTACTTGCAAACAGCCTTGCAAATAATCAGAAAGTAATCTACCACTTTCTTATTAATTTTGTCTCCTCCTCATCTCCATTCACAGAGCTGCATGAGATAACGTCTGATGTACTTTCCTTTGCATTTTTCCAGCCAACTCTTTAATTTTTTTTCAGGATTTTAAGGCAGGACACTGCCTGCCTTCCTTCCTTAGATTTAAAGCTTAATTCTAAAGGAAGAAAATATAACTCTGGATAGCCTTCAGTAAATTATGGTTCTGCTGAGTTTTCTCTTTTTTCTCTTCATGTTCTGTTTTAGCAACAGGGAAGCAGAGAAAGAGAAAAG